ATATAGTATCAACCACTCGGTCGGTTACTCCTGATATTACTCGAGATCTCTCTCTCTGTCTCTATCTATCTGTCTTTTCCTCTCTCGCTCCACCTCCACCTCCACCTGGTCCTCCCCTCTCTTGCACTCTGCCTTCTATATACTCTTCTTCTGTCACTTGACTCTAATGCAAAAGAGCGCTCCAGAAAATCTATAGGCATCTGGCCGCGGAATCCCGTGTATTTGGCAATGCAGCTAAGCTAAATTGAGCAATATTCATTCTTAGCTACATATACTATATAGCACCCATAATTTAATCATCACCCCTACACTCCAAACCATTGTCCATAATGTAATATCTAATGATACTTATAATTGGAACGGTAACAATTAAGAAAAAAAAAAAAACAAAAAAAAAGAAATATATATATACATATATCTATACATACTCCACTCTTGCTATATCTATATACATTTTACTCTCGTTGTCTACTTAGCTATATCTGTAGAATTTCCTCTGTGTCTGTTACGCTTGTCTCGCTCTCTCTCTCTCTCTCTCTCTCTCTCTCTCTCTCAGTCTCTGGCAACATTTTTGTTTGTTTTATAGACTTTTTACATTCTTCTGCTATTCTTGGTGTTTTATATTTGTTTATTGCTTTGACTGTTTCTTCCTTCATTCGTTTGTTTGGTGTGCGCTTATTTATGCGCTTAATTGCGTACCTCGATGCTCACTCAAAACTAACCGGAAATATTTTCGAAACGCCTACTGTGGGTCTGCGGCGTCGACGCTCTACCTGTATCCAATTTTTTTTTTTTTTACAAGGCAACTGCAAAGCTTTATATATACATATATCCTTAGCTAATACTTATAGTTCCACATAAAAGAACAGAATTAAAAATAAACGTAAAAGTTAATTTTCTTTTAAATCGTATGCAGATATACGTTACCTACTTTATGGCTGTTCCTATTTCTATTCGTTTTGTTTGTTTATTGTCAAACCTTTTAAAAATACTTCAACACGTGAATTAGTAAAGAATTTTAAACTAATATAAAATAAACTGACAGAGACGAGCAAATATATGAAAAATATTTGAATATGTATATGCGKATATATTTATATATACATAGCCTTCCAAAGCTTGCAGGTGCATTTTGTTTTCGGCATACCGAAAGCACTTGTTTTCCTCTCGTTCTACTTCTACATTGATATAAGTATTTCGGCTAATTAGTTTTATGTTTATATATGTATTCTACGACTAAATACACGTACGCACACACATATACACATCTCTTTAAACGCACTTCAAACAATACCAAAACTATTTGTTTCCTTTGGTTCCATCCGTTCTTTGCCGCTACTAATCATAATCAGCAGTTCCTGCATCCACCTTTGATGAGATCACCAATGCAGGCATAGACGTGGGCGTGACGGGGGGTGGTGGCAGTAGTACCAGCAACAGTAATCGTTCTGCCTTACAAATACGCGTGACAGACAGATTGTCTTTCTTTAAGATCGATTCTTCGACTAATGAATTGCCGCTTTCGGATATTGATTTTTCATTGACGCCGGGCACACCAAAGTGCATGAATATGACTTCAGCTTGCTGCAATGGGATGCTCAAACGACATAATTTACTAAGCATGCGTAGCGGTGAGGATCCTGAACCTGAAGGTCTGCAATTCCCGCAAATATCCCCGCTGGCAACAAACGAGCGGCCCTTAAGCTGCAACTGCAACAGCAATTTCAATTCATTGACTGATGCGCATGCCAAAAGTCTGATGCAGTTGACTATAGAAGAGCCCTTGACTAGCAGCAATTTGGCTATTACAGGGGCTGCAGCATCAGTTACTGTAACTGTAGCAACTGCCGGTAGTTTTGGGAATAATTCTCAGTTATCGAACTCGGCGCCTGCGGTACTGCTCAGTGGTGTATTTCAACAGCGCCACTTGAGTGATGTTAATCTGGAGCCACTAGCCAAGTATGGTACCAACTTGCCCACAGCTTCCACGCTGCGCCTCTGTATGGACATGGAGATGCACCAGTCGCATCATCGCCAATTAGAACGGAGCCAGCGTAAGGTAACTAGCCTTTCGTGTGGCCAGCTGTCAGTATTGTTGCCGCCGACTCCAGTCATAGTACCAGTCTTGTCAGATAGGTTTGGTTTGACGGGTGCAACAGCTGCACCAACTGGGAATAGTTTTATCAACTGCTTTGCACCTATTGCAGAGCATGTCACGCCTACGACCATGCCCAGTCAAGCCCTTTTTGAGCCACAGCACATTTATAATATACCCACCGTGTTAATAACAGCAACAGTTAGTTCGACAGCAGCAACTACGGTCATCACTGAGACAATAAGCAGACAAGCAATTGTTGCAGCTGCAGCAGCAGCAAGAACAACAATMTTGACAACAAAAACAACAACAGCACCACCAAAAGCCATAACAACAACTACTTTGCTCAACAATACAATACAGACAATGTGTTCTAATCAATCCATTACTAATCAATTGAAACCAATCGATTCCCTCTCAATTGACGCATCAAAACTACTACACACCAACACCACCACAAACTCTCACACAATCCTGACGTACACAACCACAATGAACAACAACAACATCACCACAACGTCCCCGTCTTGTACCAATACCATCGTCACAGATAGCAACGTTTCGGTCTCGGTATCGGCGTCGGTATCATCGGCCAATTCGTCCACATCATCGCGTCGCCAAAGACACAGTATTGCCGGCCAGATGTCATATATGAAAATGTTGGGCTTCGGTGGTTTTAGCAAAAAGATGACAACCAGCGCGAATAGCCTTTTCAGTACGGCAGTTATAAGCGGCAGCTCTTCGGCGCCAAATCTGCGTGATATGATACCGGTATCATCATCCGGTAAGTACACATGCACATGCATACATACACACATACTCACATATTCACATATATAAATACTGAGGTACATCTAAACTCACACACTTCCCATTTCACATACATACATATATACGCACGTATACGCACACCTAAACACAAATATTTAATCCTCAAGCATGGCCACACAGAACCATCCACAGACACATCATTAATCAATTTTCGTTCAATCCTATCCCCACACACACAAAAAACAAAGTTTGAATATATTTATCGTGCTATGCAGAACAATATACAATTGAAAAATTTATTTTAGTTTTGAAATTTTTTTTCTTTTTTTTTATGTATACTTATACTTTATTACATTCAATCTATTGGAATGCAAAAAGAAAATTTAAAGCTATACATCTTATAAAGTAAAATGCAAATTTTGGTAAAGGCGTTAAATGTGAGCTTTAGCATTCAGAGATTTATTCAGGAACTATGTGCTATTCTGGCAGGATAAAAATCAAACACATATGAAATGTAGACATAGGCCTACTCTTTGTCTGAGACGTACTATATTTATACACATTTCACTAATATTCACATATTGATATGCCTTAATCCTGTAGCTTGAATCCGTTTTCATATTTGATCCCATTCCTCCTTCTCAATTTTCTAATATTATATTGAACCGAAGATGAGAAATGTTTATATGGTTTATGTGCCCCGCGTTTAGGATTTGGAGATGTACCACCTATCCGACCCCTGGAGACACTGCACAATGCTCTATCGCTGCGCAAGCTGGACAGCTTCCTGCAGGATATGGTCTTGGCACAGATCTTTAAGACACCAACAGGGTCTCCACCACGCATCCATGAGGGAGCTGCAGGCAGTAATTCGGTGTCGCTGTTGACACCTGATATTGGTCAGCATGTATCGGTATCTATGCCCTCGGATTCCATGGCTGCATTTTCCTCTATCATTGAGCCAAGAGATGACAGCTTTTCAGCAACTCAACTAATTGGCCGAACCGCTCCCATTTCTGGCAAATGCGACCAGTCTAGCACTATCGATCTAAATGATGATCAAACGCAATCTTCTGATTTCGATGATGCCAACGATGTGGTCATGAAGTATATACTACCGGAAGCAAAACAGCGTAAGTTCTGTAGGCGTAAGTCAAGAACCAGCTGGCGTAACTGAGACCCGCATCAACGATAACTCTCCCTGAAATTTCGATTAGTACGTTCCAGCTTCAAGCTTGCCATATTGTAACCTTAAGCTTTTTTATGCTCTCAATTATTCAGCTTTTCGAAATATCTATGTTTCAAGTCTACTGAAATCAAATGTAAATTTTTTTCTGATTTAATTGTTATATTTTCGTTTGCTTCGATTTTTCAGTGGATTAAACCATCACACGATTATTTGTTGACTATGATTTGAGTGCTTTAGATCTTTAATCGTAAAGATTTTAAACATTATTTTATTGCGGTGTGGCGTAAAACCATATTTATATGGCCAGTATATTTTGGTTTTGTCAATATTGTATTTAAAAACTCAAGTTATAATAATTGTAAGAAGTTGAATTAAGCCACATACAGAAATAAATTTTGAATGGTTTATCCTACATAGGCGTAATATATTCTACATTTTCTTGCACGCTTTTGCCGCTTTATGGGTTAACGTTCACACCCCTTCGGCACTGTCTGTTTATACCCTGAATCCATTGAAAATGGGAGATCAGGGTATAATGGTCGATATGCTCGTGATATACACGGACCTAGGAAAAAATTTCAAGCCTTCAGCTCTTATATCTTCTGAGATCGACGCGTTCATACGGACGGACAGACAGACAGACGGACAGGGCCAAATCGACTCAGCGTCACGCTGATCAAGATTATATATACTTTATGGGGTCTGCCACGCCTCCTTCTGCCCGTTACATACTTTTTCACAAAACCATTATACCCTGATTTCCCATTTTCAATGGCTTCCATCCATCCGTATGCGTGCGTTGATCTCAGAAGTTACAAGAGCTCGAGAGCTGAAATTTGGCAAGCATACTCGTGTGTACCATACGCTGTACAAGTTTATCATATTTTTTCGATAACTCATCCGATAACTTTTTTATCGATAATAATCGAAAAATTGCTTTTATTTTTCCCGCCTAAGATTAACTGTGTATATACAGTTGATCGATACGAAAATTTTGTAATTTGCAGATATTGGATACTCCACCACGCCCCCTTCGCCCATAATTTGTAATAAACGCATTTCAAGCACCAGAGACTTGTGCTTTGGAATGTACACACATTCTAGCCATATGATCACTCAGAAAGTTTCATTATGATTGTATATCCACAGATTAAATTATTCAACTAATAAATTCTCATAATATTGCCCACACTGCGCAGTTAGCAGTGTGCATAGAAGAAGTGCAGAATGATTAGAGTATCAGCTTGGTTCAGAGTATCTCCTAGTCGAGCAGTCTCGACTGGAGCCTTCGTACTTGTTTAAAATCGCTTAAAGTTACTTTTTTGATTTTTGCCACGCAACGCCGGCAGAAGTGCCACTGTGCGACGTTAAAAAATAATAAAATATTTGCGTCGATGGCCCTCGTAGCTAGCACGTTTAATAATTTTTAGATTTATATTTTTTATATTAT